CTCAAACAATAAAACCTAAAAATCCAATACCTAATATTGCATAAATTATTCTCAGATTCCCAAAAATTTTCCTTCTTACCTCTCTCATTTATAATAATCTGTGAAATAAGTCCAAATCCAGGAAGAATCAGGATGTAGACTTCAGGATGTCCGAAGAATCAAAATAAATGTTGATAAAGAATCGGATCTCCTCCTCCCATCGGATCAAAAAATGATGTATTAAAATTTCGATCAAATAACAGCATAGTAATTGCTCCTGCTAGAACTGGGAGAGAAATAATTAGTAAAATTACAGTAATCGAGATAGATCATGAAAAAAAGATTAATTTGATCGTACTTTAAAGAAAAATTCTTTATTATAAAAATTGTTACAATAAAGTTAAGTGACCCAAGAATTGATGAAATTCCTGTCATATGAATTGAAAAAATAGTAAAGTCTACAGAAGGAGATGAATGGTATATGTAAAGGGAAAGAGGAGGATACACAGTCCATCCAGTTCCTGAATTGGGAAAAAATAAATTATTTGTTATTAGTAGTATAAGTGAAGGAGGTAATAGTCAAAACCTAATATTGTTTATTCGGGGAGAAGCTATATCAGGAGATCCTAGTATTATTGGGATTAGAAAGTTTCCAAACCCTCCAATTATAAAAGGCATTACTATAAAGAAAATTATTAGAAATGCATGCCTAGTTACAATAGAGTTGTAGATCTGATCATTACTAATTCAAGTCCCAGGTCTATTAAGTTCTATTCGGATAAGTATTCTGAATGAAGAACCAGCAATGCCTGACCAGATAGCAAAAATTATATAAAGAATCCCAATGTTCTTGTGATTAGTAGATATAAATCATTTTTTTATTTAAATTTAAACCTATATTTTATTAATATCAAATACTAATGGTATACTTTACCTAAAATTTAAACATTATGTCTGATAAAAGAAGTAAATTGTAAATTTATTCATGAAGACATTAATTCTTCTAATGTTATAGATTCTTTTAAAAATAAAATAATTTGAAACAAATTGCATAATGTTAAGTTACTAACTGGTTAAAATTTATATAATAAAATATTTTTTTAATTTTGAAGATTAACAGTTTGATATAACTTAAAATTTT